GACCTACTTAAATGTTTAAAGTAGACATATTTTTAAAGAACAAAGAAACAACAGCCCATTGTAGAATTTTATCATTATTTTGTCGCCCTCAGCCTCAACATTGTGTTATGCGAAACATGATTTATGTAATGCCCACCAATAACAGACCAGTTGAAATCCTTTCCTTCACTCTAGTGCTTCAACTTGATAAGCGGCATCCACGCAGCCCTTGAACTCATGAAACGTCTTCGTGAAGTAGGTTTTCGGTTTTGAAAACATCGTCATTCCCATACATTTGGCATTGAGGCTTTTTGTTATTTTAGATAAATGAAAAGCGAGTCCAGCCGATAAGTTACACGTCTTTCTACATTCCTGAGCTCACAGACATATTTGACGTCAGAAAGTTCGCGAATTGGCTAATCCAACGCCACTCCCGTGAGAAGGTACTTCCGCGTTTTCTAAGCGGCTCTATATCTATCCACTTTTCGTTCATTTTCATTACATCTCCTTCCTGCTCCCTTTGCAGGCTATCAACTCCTACTCTGGGCAGTCGCCTCCACCGGTGAGTCACTCCCCGAAAAAATAATCTTTTCTTGCGTTTTGCCTTGCGCATTGACTTTGTTAAAAAGGGCTTTTATTCGTATTAAAGCGAGCCACGCCTCAGGGCTTGAGAGGTCTTTCGGTAATTTTTTGTGATTCTAATACCTCCCATCCTTATCCTTCCCCCTACGAAACCCGATCTCACAAGTTTAACACTAGGTTTAACCTCAACTTCCTTTCTGTCCTTCCCTCTTCCCCTTACCCATTCTTCCGGTAGAGTAAACGCGCTGCTCGAGGCACAAGTAGCCGGATTAGTTGACTCGGCTCTGTTGTCTTTTAGCGCAGATTTCGATTCTGGCGTTCGAAGTCAATGCCCCCCAAGCCACTGCAAACTCAGGTACGCTGGGCATGAACACTCACCTTCTATCCTTTCGTTCCCTCACTTAATGATCATACAGAAGCCTACATTTACTTATTTACGATCGTTTCCTTTCCAAGTGCATAGCACTATTCGGTCTGTCGCCTCTTCACCTATTCGTTGTTGTAATTCCCTTGATTTGATCCTTTGGCTCTTCAGTTGAGGAAGAAAGTTTTGAGCTCCAGCCCCTCCCTTTTCCCTTTCCTCACCAATCTTGTCTTTCGCGATAATCTGACATGCTTATCTAGTAGAATGAATGAAGAGGTCTTTTACGGGAAGGAATTTAGTGCCTTTGTGATGGTGTTGATGGGTCGCAAATGAAAGGGGTGCGTATGGACGTGGAACTCACATATCCGTAGTGAGTGTTTTGTATCTTTTCTCTTGCCTGTATTCACAGGATTTCTCCGTCTTTGACTATCCATTCGTCTTCGATGTGGCGTGTAAGGCCAAAATGCTGGAGACAGAGGCCAAGTTGAGTCAAGACTTGGCTATGGAGAAGGCATCTTCTGCGATCATCGGACCTCATCTGGCTCGTATCCTCGGGCCCTTTGTACAAACCTACGTAATCTTTGAGGTCTCCCGCTCTCGTCTCATTTCTGACACTCTCGACCACCTGGCTATGCACTCACCTGCCGATCTGAAACGTCCACTCAAGGTTAGACTCTAGTAGTCAATCGCCTCTTACATTGTATTAAAATCGTCTGCGTAGGTTCAAGGAGAAATTTGGCCTTAACGAAATGGGTATGCGTTTTCAATGGCACTTTAGAGTGGTTTAATCATCCTCAAGGAATTGGTGGATCAGAAAGGATTAAAAGCCTGTTATCAAATGCGGCTAACGATTTACAAAACTGTCTCATCGTAAAATCAGAGTAGGAATTAATAGCATCCCGCCTTAAGTGTTTTCCACCTTCATACTCAGCTCTTTGAATATGGTTCGTTGTGATAGTTTTGTCTGAAAATGGAATATTAGACTTGGAAGGAATAGGCGCATCTGCGCAGATGCCAAGGCAAATTTGAGCATGGTCCATCTTATGCTTGCGTGTTTTTTTACATTATAGGTTCGTTTCTCAGATGAAGAAGCAATTGACGATGGGGGAGTTCTGA